CTGCTTCACTTCCAAACCCAGATGAAGTTCCTCTTGCATGAGAAAACCATTTTGACCCTTAACTGTTGTTTCTTATTTTGAACACTTTAAATTTGTGGTCTTTCATTTTTCTGACTTTCCCTCATAATATTTAAGAATCATTTGAAATGAATAATTTGGTTTAGCTTTTATTCAAAGCTAAGGTTTAAGCTTTAAGAGCAGGAAAAACATAAGTCAATATCAATTCTGATAACATGTGGGTTGTGCTTGTTGATTGACTGACTCTGCCAGTATCTTCTGGAAAGTTAGAAAGAGAGAAAGATCAGAACCTGGCCTTAAGCCATCCTCCCTGACTCATATATATTCAGGTGCTGAGGAGCAAATAATGAGGTCAAGCCTCAATAACATTTTTAATGAAAATTTCCAATGTTCCACACAATGTGATGGAAAAAGTACAGATTTTGAAATAAGACTGACTGCTCTGGCTTTAAATACTGCCTAACTCATCTACTGCCTCTCTGATTAAATAACTGCAGACTCTAGGTAAGTTACATTTTCACTTAAACTTTATAAAATAACACATTCTTTACAAAGCTATTAATATTAGAAATAATAAAGTACATGATGGCATCTTGGAATTAGTTGATAATTAATAACAATAAATCAATAATAGTATTATTTCTACAAGATGAAAAGATCAAGGCACTGTGACTGCTAAGGTTATTTATTTAACCGTTAATATTTTTCTTTTGCATGGGCCACAAAATTTTGTCTATTATTTAACAATGGATCATAAACTAATGGAACTTAGAACTGCTTCTCAGCTTCTCAGGAGTCTTAATGCTGGTGCTAAAACATCAGGGGCATTAATTAAGATTATAATGGTTATATTTAAAATCTAGATATTTAATTGATGCTTCTGTGAATTATACAAAGAGTAATAAGCATTGCTTCAAGAGCTACTTGGGCAGTCCAAGGAAAACTATAATTGTCCAAAATATTAAGTATTTTTTGTCAGAGATAATAACTAGTACTTTTCTTTTGACTTTCTGAGAAATACTTGAAATAGTTCTAAATGTATATTTGAGTGCTGTTTTATAGCATAAATAGGAGTCACCATCTCTCCCCATGTGTAGCCTAATTTATATAATTGTTTAATTAATATCTTATGATAAAGATTTGCTGCCATCTCTCACTCCAACAGGAAAACAAAGGAGCCTGGCAATGGTGGTGTGTGCCTATAGTATAGTTTCAGGTACTCAGGAAGCTGAGGCAGGAGGATTCACTTGAGCATGAGAATTTGAGTCCAGGCTTGGAAACAATAATGAGAATCTATCTCCATAAAGGAAGCATCACCACCACCACCACCAACAACAACAACAAAAAGGAAAACAAAGGGTGAGGTGCTTTGTAGATATCACTATTTCCTCATTCGGTTATAGGGTAAATATTTTCATGATCTCTAAATTGCAGATATTTGGTACATTTTCAAAGTTGCTAAAGTCTATATGCCTGAATTAAACCAAAAGCTAGCTAAATACATATTCTTCTTGAATAACAACAAGAAGAAAGAGTCAAACTAGAGTTGATTAGGGATGCTTTTCCAAAGCAGTCAACTCAATGGTCCATTCACTGTCACTTAAAGGATATACTTTCTGATTTTGTAGTTTCATTTTAAGTGACCATAACAAAGAATCAAGAAAAAACAAAAATGCTATAAAGGCATCTATAAAATTATAGTTAGATGATTTGTTTTCCTTCTAACTACCCACATTTTTTTTAGGCTAATCACAGGAAGTACCTTGTCTGATTGTGAAACAGTGACTGTAACTGTCTTTGTAAGCATCCCTCTCATTTATTTTAGATCCTTAATCTAGATACTACTTTATTTTTAAGCCATTTTTAAAAATAATTCACGTTTGGGGTCAAATAACCAAACTAACTGCCTAAAATCTTAATAACCTTGTCCTAGACTAAAGATTATGATTTCAGTAATCCTTTATAGTGTAGCTTTTATTTCCACTAACTTTAAATTTAATTCAAAAACCTTGTAATAATGATGTTAATGTTTTGAAAAAAGCTCCATGACATCAATCAAAACACAGTCAGCTTTATACTGTGTATATTCTGACAGGTTAATTATTGAAAGATCTCATTTGATATTCATAAATGATACAGTTTTTAATTCATAAATTACCAAAGAGATGAATAGTTTTTAAATCTAGTTTCCCTTTGCACCTTCCTCAAATCTCTTTGGGAATTAAGAATTGGTGTTAATATTATTAAAAGTATAAGGGAATAAATCTATTGCCTCAAATGGGCACACAGCCTCTTATGATCTGGCCACAAACCCTCTGTCTATCCTTATCTTCCTCTCCCACAACTAAACCCTAGAAAAATATGAAGAGCCAATTCCTGGAACACAACCTTCCCTATCCCTGTTCTTTGCCTTCATCCATGCTGCCTGAAAGGATCTCACTTCTCACCCCCTATACTGCAAGTTTGTGTGTCCAGTGTTTGCTGTTTCTATTAATTCAATGCTCACTGCATGCCAGGCTCTTTACTTAGAGCATTATTTAATCTGTGCCTTGTACCAGTCCTGTTTTACACATGAGGAAACTTTGCCTCATCACCCATCTAGAAGTGACAGATCTGAGATTTTTTAACCAAGTAGTCTGACTGCAGATCCTTACACAGTGATACATGAACACTGTGATAACTTGATTCCATGTCTCAATAAATTTTCAAGTTCAAGAATAAAATAATATTTCTTCCATGGATATTTCATTGACCATGCCAACCTTTCTCTTCCTTTTTGTCCTTGTATCCCTCTGAGGTCACACTAACTTTTTACCACTAACCAAGTTAGTGATGTGAACATATTGTTTTCTTTGCCAGCAGTAGCCTTTTGAGGATGATGCTCTGATTCATTTTGCTACCTTCTGTAGTAAATAGTAAAGTGGTTTTCACATGCTCAACTTTGTATTCTTACTTGTTATATGAATTCACCAGTGAAGGAATTAAGAGGCAGTTCAGATTGTTTCACAAATGACTTACCACAAATAATTTAAATAGTCTGCATAGCCAGCCAATAAAATGATAAGCATAAAGATCCTAATTGAGTATTTACTTCTTCACAAATTTGAATTTTCTAAGTTGGGTTTATGTCAGTGAGCAATGGTATTGGGTTCTTTAGTTTCAAACACATTCATTCAGTCAAATGTATTATTTGATTTTACTGAACTAGACTATATAATTAAAAATTATTGTTCCCGGAATCTAGGTGAATTTGGCTCACTCTGAACAACAAATTAAAAATGGAAGAAATTCTTTGTAATAGTGACTTTATGGATATGAGTGTTATATTTTACACAATACCAAGCTAATGTAGTCATTTAAAATTTTTGAATATAAAGTGGATATGTTAATATTTAGAGACACTTATGCTTATTCATTCAATTTCTTGAATTTTAGGGGAGTAGGAAATGACTTGAAGAGTATTTGAGTCTTATCATTCTTAAGCCATAAAAAGATGGCATTTTCTCCCCCTTTCTCTACATATTGGCATTACACTTTGACAGTTGTACAACAGAAGTTTCAAAGTCTTATTTCTGTTTATATAATAACAACAATAACCACAACTCTCAAAAATATTTATAACCACATATAAGATGTAGAATTATCAGATTTAAGATGTGCCTTTTATCTGTTCAAACTCAAATTTAATATATACCTTCACAAAAATTACATAATTAAGAACAAGATAGCTATTTGGAGGTTAATAGTAGATAATAATTGATTTCAGAACAAGTATTCTTAGGAGATTTCAATACCATTTTTCTTTCAAGTTCTGTAATATAAGTATATTTATCTCACCTGGAAAAAATTAAATACAAAAACTAATTACCCAAAGCACAATTTTATCAGTTTTAAGCATGCCAGAGCATTTTTTAAAAATGAATTACTTTGGAATGATTTTTCATGGACTCCTAAATGGTCATTTTCTCCTAGTGTCTTAAAGCTTAAATAATGAAGCCATGGTTGTTAAATACATTATGGATTATCAGTGACAGAATACTTATTTAATAGATTATATAGAATAGTGGGAACAAGCTGGAGACTCAGAGGGCCTGACAGCCATATAATTTAAAGGAGAGGGTTTTTTTTTTTTTTTTTTTTTTTTAACAATTAGGTTCACACTAAGAATAGTGCTAAATTATTTTATTTATTCTTGTTGGAAGAAATGGGCCTCTAAAGCTTTCTTTAAGATTCACTCAAGTAACTAACCAAGAAGCTTGTAGGGTCTGCCACCTTACCTAGAAAAATTATGACATTTTTCTATGAGAGATGGGTTATTCTCCAATTTGAACTCTGTTGCATTCCTTACCATTATTGATAAACTTACCATTCTTACTAAACTTATTGCCTCCAACTTACAAAAGAGTTTTCAAAGGTAAAGTATTAGAAAGATAGCAAAGAAAAATTAAGAGTGGTGTTTTCTGGGACGAAATGCACTCATATGCTCCTTTCACAAGCACACCACAATTGTTTTTTCTTTCTTTCTTTTTGTCATTGTCATATTGTTGTTGACTTTTGTATACCCTGGGCATTGTTGCCCAGAGATAAATGCATAACTATCCCTGCTTGTTTCTGACACAAGAAAATGATGTAACACTCTCATTTTTATCTTCCTTATAAAAGGAACAAAAGACTGAGTCTACCCTTGACAGATGTGACTCCCAAATCATTAACACTGGCCAGCCCTTTTGTAGAATCAGCCAGTGGAATTGAACACAGTCCCCCCAACTTTAAACAAAGCCATTTAATTTGGTCTTGGTAAAAGAAAAAAAAAAGCCCAAATAAATAAAAGGACAACATAAAGAAGCATAGTTTGCCGATTCAAACCTACATGCAAGCCAGAGGAGATTTATGATTTTGTTTTCCGGGGAGGGGGTGACTAACGCACACACACTGACCATCACCGTAAAGAGGTAAAGAGAGAGTGAAATGGCTCAACGTACACACACCCCGCTCCATACCGGGGACGAGTCTCCGAGCTGCGGCTTGTGCTCTCGGAGGGCCAGGCTGAAGCTGACCGCCCCCACGGCCACGCTGGATACCCCCAACCCTATCTCCAGCACGGAAAGCACCAAGAGGCTCCCAATAATCTGGCCGCTGGTGCACATCCTTCCTGGGTCATCATTCCTTTCAGATCACAGAGGAAAACCAACCATCCACCTTCTTTCTTCCACGATCCTCCTCACCCCTTCCACCCCCTACCAGATCCTACAACTTTTCTTTCTTCAGCAGCGAAACATTATCCACAAGGACTGGATTTCCAGACTGGAGACCCTCCTCCCTGGCCCGGTCAGAGGCAAAGAGCTGCTCCACCCACTGGCACGCTCAGACAGGGATCGTGGACAGATCTTCCTGGGCTTGATAAGAGTCCGGAAGAGATCACAGCGGTAGCAGGGCTTTCAAAGAGCCTGAGACCGGGGGAGATCTGGGAGCCAGAGCCGTGCTCAAGAGGCGCTGTCCAGAGTTCTGCCGTGTCCCAATCTCCGCAGGGAAACCCTATTCCTTTCTCAGCCTCCGGGACCTTTCAGGGTCCCTTTTCTTTCCTTGAGGAGGAGAATGAGCTTAGCTTCCCGGAGAGCCTAGGGGGACTGCTCAGAGCTTCTCTCTGCCTCTTCCTCTTGCCTCCTCTCCTTTGTTTTCGTGGTAATGCAAAGTGCTTCTGCAAGTCTCTAGGTCCCCTGGCGGAGTCGGCGAATGGTATTCAGCACCACGCTCCTCGCAGTCTCCGTGTCGCCAGAAAATGCGACCTTGTCTGATGGCCTCTTTCCATCTGGGTTTCTTCTCCCTCGTCGTCGTCCTCTTCCTCCCCCTCTCTCTTGATCCGATTCTCTCTCATTGCTATGACCTCATTGGAATTTAGGAGGTTGACGGAGGAGGGAAAAGCCTGATGTATTTGTGGGTCTAGGACCAGTTCTCTTGGCTAGCCCTTGATCTGCCCCGCCCGGGGACCCTGACCGCAGGAATCCAAGAGATGCCGACCTCCGCATCTCCCCCATTTACTCCCTTCTGGGCTTCCATCCAGCAGGGAGAAGAGGCGATGCCTACGTCAACGCGGGGCTCATTCTGTGTAAAACTTTCTTCTTCTGCGTATACGCGGGGTGGTGGTGGCGGGGGAAGGGGCGGGGGAGCAGTGAGCCAGGAAAGGCAGAGAGAGCAGGGGCTGGAGAAAAGCCAAACACTAATTTCACTAGACTCCGAAGGACCTTCACGGAGGAACTCCTCTGTCCAGATGGGCTAGACTCAAGCCTGCTTATAAAGAACGTCCACTCCAGGGTATCAGGACCTGTCAAGTTCCATATCCGAGGGAGAAGCAGCAGTTGGCTGGAGCCTCACTTCCGTGAAGATGTGGCAACAATTCTCTCTAGCCCACAGATCTCTGCTTTCCCCTAGGCGCACTGCGAGTCCTGGGATGTGTAGCCAGACTTGGCCCAGCTGGTAACCCTGTGTTACCACTGAAATTCAAGGACTACATTGAAACAGACATTTAAAAAAAAAATTGTGGGGTTCAAAGCACAACCGTTTTTGACTGTCAACCTTAGCCAGAAACATCAGGGCACAGACCAAGCTTGGCCTGGGTATTTTTGTTTTGTCATCTTTGACGCATATGGATCTCCAGAAGTGTGGGAATCGCTATATTTGAATCTTGTTTCCATTTCTCTGGTCTTACCCCATGAAAAATCTCAAGGTATGTTATTAAGGATATCCAGAGAGTAGGGGAATGGGAGAAAAGGTTTTCAGCTGTGGATCATCTTTCTCAAAAACTGGATTCTGCAGGTAGAGATGGACTGAAGGAAAACAGAGTAAAGGAGAATTGAGTAGGGGTACAATAACATAAGGTTAAGGCATCCTGACCTCTAAATACGTGCAGACAAGTTTGTGCACAGTGCAGGCACCTCGGTTACTGGAGGCTTCTCTTTTTAAAGCCACAATATTGAGAACACAAAATCTGAGTGACCCATTGCCTAAATTCTGTAGCCTAAGTGTTACTGCCAGTGTTCTTAAATTTGATTTGGGGCTTGTTTCACAGTTTAAATTTAATTCTACAGAATAACTTATTTCTTTATGGCATATTTATTCTGCAATTTTAAAACTTGAGTCTTTCCTTAAAAATAAAAAGAAAACAATTACATGTTATTTGGTCTCAAAGAGTTGTCAGTTATTGTAAAGTTAGAGAACAACTTAAACATTTATATTGAATGATAATTAGTGAGTTCACTTGCTACTTCTTAAACTTGGCCCATCACATAGCCATTTGCTAAAATCCCTCAAACAATTTTTGCCTAGTGAACCATAGTTTACTGTATTTAAATATTGTAAATGTCATCTAAATGATCCAATCTATACATAGAAATAATGAAGGATCTGTGTTGTCTAATCTTTGGTTTGAATTTAGTCATCATGGTTCTTTTTGTATTTTCTTCTTCCTCTTTCATAAAAGAATAATTAGTTGTTTAATTAGTATTTATTAAAATAAAGTAATTAATGCAGACATGGAGAAAAGAGAATAGTTTATTAGAAGAGAACTTAATATTTGTAGAGAACATATCGTTGGCATAAGCAATAAATGAATTTCAAAGAGAAATGAACAAATATTGTCTTATGGCTGAATTTCTATCACTGACAAATGTGATGGCAAGAAATAAGCTTACTTAAATACTTTAAAACCTAATCAGATGTCCAAATATAACCAATCTTGATTGATTCTGGGACACTGGTACAGAATCCAGAACTTTGAAAATGAAAATTTACATAGAACAAATTAATCTTCTCTTTACTTTTGAGTAACTACCAATAAGTCACAATACACGAGAATTATTCTCAGGACTAAAGTTAAAACAATCACTATCCACAAATGAAATTACATGTTATTATGTGTTTAAAATCATGTCTGTCAATGTAAGAATTTTCAATAGATTCTTACATTACTTTTTCTGGCACAGAATATATTTTGCATACCTGATAAATTGGTGTTAAATATTCTCCCAAAATAAACACAAATGCATCTAAAACTTCATAATTGCAGAAACTAAGAACAAAAAATGGGTTAAAACTGACAAAATGATTTATTATTATCATTATCCCTAAAAATTATTTGTTAGAAAAAAATTATAGAATTTAACCTTAAATAGAGAAAAAACTACACAAACTACATTGCTATTCAAACTCTAGTGCCTCCACAATTTGAAAATTTAGTTTTCTTATGTCATGGTGTATCAAAAGTGTTACTCATGAGATCCATTGAAACTTGGTTCAATATTTCTACCTCTTCAATAAAAACAACAACATAAAAACAACAACAACAAAAATCTCAAGCTTGCCACCTGCTGGCTTGAATGTGACACAAGTAGATGTGAGTAGCCGCAAATTAATTCTTATAAAGCTCCATCTCTAATAAAAAATTCTCCATTGTTGTTTTCTTTAATGAACCAAGTTTTGCTAGTAAGTATTCAAGATTTTTGAGGTATTCATATACACATTTACATAAATTATGTTAATAGATATTTATTTGTATAAAGAAATATCTAGGAATTAGAAAACAAATATCCCCTGCTATGATCTGAAGAAGAGTCCACTGAAGGCAGGTATATTAAAAGTTTGCTCGACAACCTGTAATGCTATTCAAAGATTGTAGACCTTTAAGAGGTGGGGCCAAGTGTAAGGTAATTGGATCACTGGGAGGACAAGCTTTTGAGGAGGACTCCATCCCTCTTCTTTCTCCTTGATTTCTGGCTGCCATGAGTTGAGAATCTTTTTCCCCCATGTGGTTCCTGCCATGATGTACTGTTGGCTTACCACAGGTTCAAAAGTGATAGGGCCAACCAGTCATGAATTGGAATACGTAAAATTGTGAGCCCAAATAAACCTTTCTTTCTTTCAAATATATTATTTCACATATATTCTTATAGTAACAGGAAGCTGATTAATACACATCCTGTTTTAATGTAACAAAGGACACTGACAAAAAGACCACTGTACTCATTATTGTAGAGTTAGTTTTTGAGAAACCCTCAGATTTTAAATGATTACTTTTCATAATTATGATCATCATGCTCTGATTTACAGAATCTAAGCTTTAGTTATAAACAAAAACTGATGATCACCATGTGCACTGGACTGAATAGCCAATGTAGTAAAAAACAAGGAAAAGAAAAATCACAAAATTATTTCAAACCACTTGAAGTTTTGAAGTGCTCCATATACATTTTGAAGATCTATATGTCTACTTTAATACATACATACATATACACACACATACACACATACATATATATCCCATACCAATGAGATAATATGGTATCAAAATGATTTATTATTATCATTATATATATATCATATATACCTCAATTAAGAATTAAGAATTGAGGTATATATATGATATATACAATGATAATACTAAATCATTTTGTCATATATATATGCCTAATTGTTCCTCAATAAAATATATATGTATATTTAAGTGAACATAACTCAGTACTTTATTTTTTTTTGTAATAATACAAAAGGAAGTTTAAAACTGGATCACTTGGCCCTTTCTCTTATCTCCTCTTAGTTCAAAATGCTTGTATCTCTAAATAGCCAGTATTTTCTTGGATTTTCAACACACTCAAACCTCAGTGGAATCATCTTTGTAGTTGTAGCCAAACTGGCTTAGTCTGCCCACCATGGCCAGCCACTGTGCTTCCTGTCATAATACCACTTTACCTGTGCAGACAGTGAACACTTACCTTTCTTGCACTGTGTTACTTTGTGGGGTTGGTGCTTGCCACACTTCTTACAGAAAGTCTGGCAAGTTTAAAAACAATCACCATATTTACAGGAGTGCTTTTGGCACAGAAAGAAGTTCATTTAATAGTCTAATGCTCTTATCATTGTGGCTAGAAAATATTGTACCTAAATATTTATGTAGGATTGAGGAAGTGGTTCTGCTAAAAAAGGAAAAAAAAATAAAGCAGCATTTGGAGGTTTTTTTATTTTCTCATTTAGAAATCAACAAGCAAAACTAATCACATCAGAATTTATTTTTTGCCTTTTGCCTTTTAGTGATAATGTAGCTCAGAAGGCATTATCCAAGAGTTTTCAGAGCTTTTGTTTCTTAATCAGAGAAAATACAGTATTTAATATTTAGATCAATTTTCCATTTATGTCTGAAATATCACCTATTATTGACCTTTACACACACACACACACACACATACACACACATACACACAGTAATTACTAATTTTTCACTCTTGGCCATTATGAATACAGGGGGCATGAATTTACTTTCCAACTATACATAAAATATACTTACAGTTAACTGATAAGGTACAACAGGCAGCTCAGATCTGTGAACTCTGTAGAAGAGAAATAAAATTTTCTGTCTTGGTTTCTTAATTACAGGTATTCACAGACAATTTTATCAAAAAAGGGATCATAGGCAGATAATGGTGGTCTCATAAAATTTAGGAGGTAAATAGCAGAATTCTTTAGGGCTGATTTTGTGTTTGTGATCCCCAAGGTTCCTATTTTGAATACCATTCCTATTTTGAATACCAGTGGAATGGTATTAGGAATTGAGGCTTTTGGGGGAAGTAATTAGGCTTAGATAAAGTCATAAGGGTGTAGCTTCCATGGTGATATTTGTATCCTTTTTATTATTGTTTAATTTTTTTAAAAAAAAATCTATTGCATTTCATGGAAATTTAAAAATTCCCTTCTTTAAGAGATATGTTTAGAAAAATGAAGAAAAGACAGAGTTTAGGAGGAAATAAATGCAATCTGTGTATCTGACAAAGAACCCAGGGATTCTGCTTCAAAATAAATGAAAATGTATCTTCAAAAAGACTTGCCTACCAATGCTCAGAGCAGCCCCACACCCACCTGTGTGGGGGATTGAACTCAATGCTTCATGCAAGCCACTGAGCTACATCTCAGCTCAGCTAGCAGGCTTCTTCTTCATGGCCATCTGACAATTTTGGAAGAATGAGTAGTGAGTCTTCCAATCTATGAATATGGTGTCTTTCCATTTATTTTTAAATGCATTTTTATTGATTCTTTTTAGTTATACATAACAGTAGATTCCATTTTGATATAATTATACAATCATGGAGTGTATCTATTCTAATTAGGAACACATTCTTGTGGATGTACACAATGGAGGGATTCACTGTGTTGTATTCATATATGAACATAGGAAAATTGTGTCATATATATCCTTTTTAAAAGTGAAAGAAGAGTTCCCACACTCTATCAGGATAGGATATAACAAGAAGACTGTCATTGGCAAACCAGTAGGAGCGACCTCACCAGACAGTGACTTCAATTTGTCA